GGCCCGACCTCCCGGGGGCTGTTGGGGCGCTGCGGGTGGCGCACCTTGGGGCAGAGCGTGGCCGACCTCATTTTCTGTCTGTTCCCTTCTAGCCTCATCTCGGCCTTTCAGCTTGCCTGGACTGTGCCCCTGGGCTAAGTTGGCAACATGAGCAACAACTTGGATGCGAAAGACGACTTTGATGAGCAGTTGCGAATGCAGAAATTGTACGGAGACACTGAGGACGGAGACACCCAGACAGATCCCGGTATGGAAACCAATTCTTTTGGGCAGCAGCCAGATGACACCCCCTACGAGTGGGACCTGGACAAGAAGGCTTGGTTTCCCAAGGTAAGTGTGTGTCACCGGTACCACTGAAGAGCAGGCCGCTGGGCCAGCGTCGTTTTCTTTTCGAGGTCTTTAGGTGAAGCAAGCCCCCATGGGTAGTGGCCTTTCTTTTTGTTCCGTTGTTGCAGAACCAATGTGTAAAGGGACGGAAATCTTTAGGGAGATGTCTTAAATGTAATTTAATTCTTAAGTTTTTTTCTATGTCCTATTAATTTTATCTGTTAAGGTCACAGTTGGTTATTACATTGGTGACTGCTTTTTATTGTAAAGAGGAAAAACACCAAGAACGAACTTGGTAGCTGTTACTCTCAGGGAGCCAACCTCACTTATCCTGGGAATTCAGATGTTTAGCTTATATACTATGTGCAAAATTCAGCTTCTTGATTTTTTTGTTTTTTAAAAACTAGCCATTTGTGTATCATTATTGACTGAACTTTGCTCCTCTACTTTCCTATTAAATTTGGTCCCTAGACCCATGCTTGAACCATACATATAACCACAGGAATATGACTAGAGGTGCACAGAATACGGATGGAAAAGATATGTATATATTTATTTAGAGTATTTGGAAATTGTTAAGCATTTTATTTCAGTAAAATAACTGGTGTTAGACTTGGTTCTATAAACTTTTCAGTAAGAGTATCCTGTTAATCAGAATCTCATATGGGTGGGGAAAAGGATACCAATAGCACTTGCAAGCCTGTAATAACAAACCGTGTCTCCATTGTTTAACTTAAAAAATTATTCAACTACTTTATTTCCCATTTTGTGTTTATGTATATGTTCCAATTCCTCCAAATTGTTAAATTTACTAGTTGATTCTTGAACAACCAGGGTTTGAACTGGGTCCACTTATACGTGAATTTATTTTCATATTGTAATTAGATCATGTAAACTTATTGTAAAGGTAAATGTAGTACAGTACTGTAAATGTGTTTTTTCTTATGATTCTCTTAATAACTTTTTCAGTAGCTTTAAGAATACAGTATACACCTTGGCTGGTGTGGCTCAGATGGTTGGCCACTGTCCCCTGCACCCAAGGGTTGATGATTTGATTCCCGCTCAGGGCACGTGCCCAGGTTGTGGGTTCAGTCCCTGGTGGGGGCATTCGGGAGGCAGCCAGTCAATGTCTTGCTCTCACATCAATGTTTCTCTCCTTCTCCCTTCTCTCAAAGTCAATAAAAGAATACAGTATACAATATACAGCGTGTCCCCCAAAAATATGTATGCACTTTGAATGATTATAAAGTCATTGTTTATTAACATACAGTTCATTTTCAAAATTTAAAAGAATCTACAGAAATGAAAATTTTTTTTGTCAATGCCTGTCTTCTGGTCCAGGCACTGCTCATAATGGGAAGCAACAAAATCGCAAACATCAAGAATCATTTCATTTGGTATTTGTGTGCCCTCAGTTCATCGACTGTTGCCAGTTTTGTATCGTAAACTTTACCTTTTATGTATCCCCATTAAAAAAATCTAGTGGTACTTTAGGATAAATTTTCTTTGTTCAAAGCTTAGTCTGGCTTCACACATTATTTCAAATCAGTTAAACCTGAAAAGGAATGAAAATTAAGTGAGTTATCAGGTGTTAAAGTGTGTATACATTTTTGGGGGACACCCTGTATATAACATACGATATATGTGTTAATTGACCTTGTGCTTCTGGTCAACAGTCAGCTATTAGTAATAAAGTTTTGGGGGGAGTCAAATTATATGCAGATTTTCGACTTGAGCAAGATGTGTACATCCCTAACCCCTGCATTGTTCAGTGGCCAACTGTATTTCACTCCTGTATTGGTAGTGCCAGCTCAAGTGCAGATTTGGTTTCTTCAGCCTTCTGAGTTCTTTTAACAATAGCCTGATAATTAGATTAACTTGTGACTTATCTTTTTATGCTATGGAAGCCCATAACTCTTTAAACTTAGAGTTAAAAATTTCCCCCCATTCCTATGTGTGCCTTCATCCATTGGTATGAAGATATAACTACATTTCTTGCATTGTGCAATTTTGCTTTCTTCCCTAAAAGCCAGGAGGATAGATGTAAGTTGGATTTGTTCTTAATTTTTTTATGACAGTAAATGATAATATGACTTAATTCATGATTAAGTGAAAACAAACATTAAAATTTACTGCCATTAGCCCCATTCTTTACATACCATATCAAAATTCCATTCTGTTCTCTTTGCATACAGGTATATAAATATTTAGTGTACATACACTTTTGTTCATCTGTATGGTTAAAGAAAAATTAATTCTGTTGTTATATTACTAGTTGGCTATTGGTTTTTATTCTGTTTTATTGTTATCTGGTACTTCCTTTGTTATATGTTCTTGTAGCCTTACTCAAGTATACAGTGGAGAGGTAGTAATTTATAAATGAAACAATTAGAAAGGTGCTAACATCAGTTAAAATAATTTAGTAGTATCTCAGACTTTTGTGTTGATAATCCAAGTACCCATGTCTTATTTTTTTCTCATTTTATGCACGGTTTTTTATGTACAGGGTGGGGCAAAAGTAGGTTTATAATTGTGAGAATATTCTATTATTATTTATTAATTAATGTATTATTTTCCATACAAACAACTGTAAACTTACTTTTGCCCCACCCTGTAAGGTGACTATTCTTGTATTTACTTTTTATCGCTACAACTATTTTCCACAGAAACACTTCTGTGCTAAGTTGTATAACTGAATATGTTATAATGTAAAACAGTGTAAACTTTTTACAGGAGAAAATAAGGTTTTAATTTCTCTATATGTGTGTGTTGAATTTCTTGTTCAGATCACTGAAGATTTCATTGCTACATACCAGGCCAATTATGGCTTTTCTAATGATGGTGCATCTAGCTCTACTGCAAATGTACAAGATGTTAGTGCTAGGCCTGCAGAGGAACCTCCGCAAAGAAAAACCCCTGAACCCACTGATCCCAAAAAGAGGGGAGAAAAGAGAAAGGCTGAATCAGGCAAGTGGATTTAGCTTGCAAAACATGAGTGTAAAAATTAAAAAATGTGAATGTGCATGTGTATGTGTATATAGATACTTTTTGGAGAATTATAATAGTTTTGAAGGTATCATTGAGATGAGTTTTTAAAATCATTATTTGTGTTCATATGTTGGCTCTCACACTAACTTGTGGGCCTTGAGTGGGTTGTTTCAGTTCTGTGTAAGGATATTTTTTATACTTTATGAGTTTAATTAAGTTGAACTTACGTCAGTTTTGCTTCAGCGTGGCCATGTCTAACAGTAGATTGGAGTCAGAAGCAACTTAATTTGAAGGCCTAAAGTCAGTGCAAAGATGAGGCTTTTTTTAAAGGAAATATCAGAATTATAGCCAAGATTTGGAAGCAGCCCAAGTGCCCATCAGTAGATTAGTGGATAAGAAAGCTGTGGCACATTTACACAATGGAATACTACTCGCCATAAAAAAGAAGGGAATTTTACCTTTTGTGACATCATGGATGGACCTGGAGAGTATTATGCTAAGTGAAATAAACCGGTGAGAGAAAGACAAATACTATATGATTTCACTTAAATGTGGAATCTAATGAACAAAATTAACAACCAAAATAGAAACAAGAGTCATAGATACAGAGAACAGATTGACAGCTGTCAGAGGGGAGGGGTATTAGGGGGCTGGGTGAAAAAAGTGAAGGGATTAAGGGAGGAAATAAACCTCGCCCTGGCCTGTGTGGCTCAGTTGGTTGAGCATTGTCCCATGCACCTGAAGGTTGCCAGTTTGATTCCCAGTCAGGGCACATGCCTGGGTTGCAGGTTTGGTCCTGATTGGGGTGTGTAGGGGAGGCAGCTGATCAATGTTTCTCTCCCATATCAATGTTTCTTTCTCTCCCTTCCTCTCTCTCTAAAATCAATTAAAATTTTAAAAAAACACCCTCATAGACACAGACAATAGTATGGTGATTACCAGAGGGAAGGGGAGTGGGGGGGGCGGTAGAAGAAGGTAAAGGGGGGATAAATGGTGAGGGGAGGAGATTTAACTTGGGGTGGTGAACACACAATGAAACCTATATAATTTTATTAACCAATGTCACCCCAATAAATTCAATAACATTTTATTAAAAGATAAACTAGCTCTCTTTTTTTTTAGATAGGGTTCTGAAACTAATTATCTGTCAAAAGAGTCAAATACATTGAAAGCTGGACAGTAGTTTGAAATTAGTCTATCTTGTTCTAAGGGTAAGAAAAAGTTTCTGGAAGTTTTGAGAAACTGCCACACTGTCAGGATTTTATAATGTGACTAACCTTTTCTTGCATGTGTTTTATTTATTCATTTTGACATTTAGGATGGTTTCATGTTGAAGAAGACAGAAATACAAATGTATATGTGTCTGGTATGTATACCTTTTTAAACAGATTCAGAATAGAAAATACTTGATTTAGATATTTTTCACAAAGTGATATTTAGTTTTCAGTTTCTCTAAAGTCTGTCTTATTCTTGCGTCATTTTTTTGTTCAGCTCTTTACATTAGTAAGGAATATGTTTGTTTATTACAAAACTAAGGAAAACTAAGTATGTAACTTTGCGTGCCATCCTTTCTGTCTACTTTAGGTTACTTGTGTCAGTTTGTCTCTTCAGATTCACTGATACAAGACCTAAGCAAAGCATAATTTTAATGTATGTTTGAATACATTAAAACACAAAATTTCCTCAATTCTATAGAGAGATTTTTACATACATTTAGAAAATCAAAATTGTGTTCATCTAGGTTGTAGCTTTCTAATTGGTAGAATGCTAATAATCCTCACCTTTATTTAGGTGCTTTTATAAATTTTAAGAAATTTTTCCTAATGTTAATAGGTTTGCCTCCAGACATTACATTGGATGAATTTATACAGCTCATGTCCAAGTTTGGCATTATTATGAGAGATCCTCAAACAGAAGAGTTTAAGGTCAAGCTCTACAAAGACAATCAAGGAAATCTTAAAGGAGATGGACTTTGCTGTTATTTGAAGGTTAGTTATGTGGTCAGATAAGTTTCTTTTATCTCCATTTTTAAGTCAGGAACCAAAGCTATCATTTTGTATAGAAGATTACTAAGAGAACTATTCAAAACAGGACGTGAAGGAAACAAATTTCAGGTTGTGCCTGTGTGTATCACATTGGTAAGGTTATTCACTTGTTTTATCTAAGAAAATGTAGTATCAGGTCAAAGTATTGTGTAAGTTATATGACCAAAGTGCTTTTGTGGTAAAAGACTTCTCACTGCAAAGATCTCTTTCAGAGTATATGAATCTAATTATTTCAGAACACATTCTCAGAATCCACAGAGAAAAAGCCAGTAATATTTTATTTGCCCATTTGAATGAATTAAAGCAAGGATTGGCAAACTCCAGCCCACTGCTTGTTTTTGTTAATAAAATTTTTTAGAACATGGCTGCATCCAGTCATTTACACATTTGTCTATGCCTACTTATATATTTCAACAGCAGAGTTGAGTGGTTGCAGCACAAACTGCGTGGCCCACAAAGCCTAAAATATTTACTAATGGCTCTTTACAAAAGTAGTTTTCTGACCCCTGAGTTAGACCATAAAGGAGATGATAGCTTATGCTTAGTGCTTCAAAATATCTTTTTAATGGGAGAGAATGCTATTAACAGAAATTTGCAGAACTCTGTTCGTGGTGTCATAAATTGCACAGGTAAAGCTCAGTGTTAAAGGCGTTCATCATTTCTGAAACACCTATCTTAGGAGCAGGTGCTACTCATTATTGCAGGGTGTAAAAGAAATGGGTATGATGATGGCATACACATATGTCATAGAACCTGAAAATAATTACGAAGTAAAATCAAAGTGATAAAAGAACAGTACCAACACCACAGGTGTGTTGTGAGTATACAGCATTTCCATGAAATCAGGATTAAACTGACACCTTTTGGGGAGATAACGGTTTTGACCTGGTTCGTGAACAGGACATAGGTGTCACCATTATAGGAAGGTAGTTATATAATTTTCAAATGGAGTTTGAAAATTGGCAAGTTCTTCAAGGATTGTTAAAAACCTGTGAACAGATTCTTAGGGGGTCTGATTGGATTTTAAAAGAAAAAATGGGGTTTTGAGAAATTTCACGTGTACAATTTATGACCCATAAAAGTGCATGGCAAACCAGTAAATAGAGTTCCAGAAGAACATAGTTAATTGTTCCAGGATCCATATTTGATTATGCAGCTAAGTTCAGCTGTCCTTTCATGTTCTCTTCAGGTCCTCAGATTTTTGACTCTGTAGGACTGACAACTGCCCCCTTTGTATAGGACCCAGAATCCATAGTATATTTAATGTACAAGCTGTCGATAATCATCTACTTCCCAATATGTTACAGAGCTACATTTTAATTGGCGAACAAAAAAATTAAAGGCTGGCTATGCTATTCCCTGTTACTTTAGTCATCTAGTCTTTTAAGAAGGAATATCTTAGAATTTTAAAACTGGTATGCACCTTAGAAGTCACACAAGTTCATTTGCCTTATTCTCTAGTTGAGAAATTGAGACTCCAAGAAGCAAAGCTACTTCAATTATGATATAATTTATTGAGCAACTACCATATACCAATCACTATCCTTTATGTGTATTCCATTTAATTTTGTCAAGAACCTGTGATGAAGGCATTACTGTTCCCATTTTACAGATGAAAAAACGGGTTCAGGGATCTTGAATAACTTGCCCAAGTTCACATGACTGGTTGGGGGCAGCTATGTCTTGAATGCAGGTTTCCTGATGTGCATTCTAGAGTTCTTTATCCCAGAGTGCGTAGTTATGTTTAAATTATTATTGCATGTATAGTCGTCATCTGAAAAAACTCCTGAAGTTTTATTTCAGCGTGTACCTTATTGACTATGTTTTGTTTTCCCTTTATAAAGAGGGAATCTGTGGATCTTGCATTAAAACTTTTGGATGAAGATGAAATTAGAGGCTACAAATTACATGTTGAGGTGGCAAAGTTTCAACTGAAGGGGGAATATGATGCCTCAAAGAAGAAAAAGAAGTGCAAGGACTACAAGAAAAAGCTGTCTCTGCAACAAAAGTTTGTGTTTTTGTTTTTTTTCCTCTTTAAAAGATTTCATATAGATATCCTAGAATATGCTTTTGATAATAGCCACCTAGTTCGGTTCCACCAAATGTAACTACCAATTCTTTTTAAAGAATTTCATTAGGTTTTCAGGAACCTTCAGTAATCTGTACCATAGCATGATTTGGCAGCAGTGGTGCTTTTCATTTTCTGGGGTGTTCATTTGTAGTACAATGGGGCCTTAAATGAGATAGAGAGCTATCTCTGGAAGATGTTGCACATCAGATTAAATATGATAGTTTAGGCTTGTATACCAGAGCCATTAGTTCATTTTCATTGTGGATTGAAATCAGCTACACCAAGAGCTAAAGTTTTACATACAGGTTTGTGGTAGGAATTAGGAATTTGAAATGATAGGTTTTGTCATTTATTATGTATTACATAAAGTATATGCATAATGCCATCAAGTTTCTGTTAATCCATTTGTTTAATATGTTTTGAAATGTGCTAGTTTTAAGAAAGTAGGCAAAATGAGTACTCTTCCCACAGTGAGTTCTGATAACACTTGTAACACTGCTTAAACTATTGATAAATGATCTTAAAAGCATTTAGTCATGATGGCCTATAGTTTTTACAGGAATAGTTAAAACAGATACCTGCAGTTTTTATAAACAATGTCAGTAAAATTTAAGATTGTAGCAACAAAGAATGAGTAGCTTTATGTATTTAAATGCAGTTTGTCGTAATCATAAAATGTCTAAAAACCAATACAATTTGAACATATTTTTTAGCCTCAGAAGATCTCTTCCTAAATAGTCGTACATGCTGAATAATTAGCAATTCTTCAGGAATGACATTGGAATATTTGTAACCAGACAGCAGTTCTGAAAAAAATATACAGGGTGGGACAAAAGTAGATTTACAGTTGTGAGTACGCAAAACACAGAGTTCATTCTTGTGTTATTATTTATTCATTATTGTATTATTTTTCATACGAATAACTGTAAACCCACTTTTGCTCCACCCTGTATATTCTGGGGATATCAGATACTGGGTCCATCTTTTTCACCTGCCCATTATTTTTTTTTCCACAAAGTTCTCTGAATGGAACAGGGACTAAAATATACATTGTTGTTTTGGAATAAAATAATTATTATTAAATATTCAGTAAAAAATCAAATAATTATCATTATTAAATATTCAGTAATTATCATTATTAAATAATCCAGAAATATTCAGGATTATTTCTACTTTATGGCATTAGGCAGTTGGATTGGAGACCTGAGAGAAGAGATGGGTCATCCCGAATGCGCCACGAACGAGTTGTCATCATCAAAAATATGTTTCATCCTATGGATTTTGAGGTAGGGTATAGTATTCCTACTGATTGAAACATTGATATGCCTACTTTCAAGGGAGCCCAAAGCTTGCCTCCCCCCATCTTTCTTATGCCACACGCTGCACATTTATGTAGTCCTCAAGGTAGGAAAATGTAGAAAGAATCAGTCAGTTGAACTTTTCAGATTTTCCCATGTATAGCTCAGTGTTCTTTTTATTGTATCACAGTAAGACTGTTTAATATACATACTGTGGCCCCAAATGGCAGCTACTTGGTATGGGAAATTATAAAAAATATAATCATTAAAAGATTTATGGGCCCTGACCAGTGTGGTTCAGTTGGTTGAACATTGTTGCACGCACCAAAAGATTGCTGGTTCAGTTCCCGGTCAGGGCACATGCCGGGGTTGCGGGCTCAATCTCTAGTGGTGGGCATGCAGGAAGCAGCCCATGGATGCTTTGCTCTCGCATTGATGTTTCTCTCTCCCCCTCTCCCTTTCTCTCTCTAAAAACATTTTTTAAAAAAGATTTATGGGAGCTGTAAGTCCTGGTTGATTTGGTGGTGCGGACCAGTTTCACACTTGGAAATGGAAACTTCATTTTAGTACTAAAAGTTTGGTCTTAGCCCTGGCCGGTTTCGCTCAGTGGTTAGAGCATCAGCCTGTGGACTGAAGGATCCTAGGTTTGATTCTAGCCAGGGGCATGTACCTTGGTTGCAGGCCCGATCCTAGCCCGGGTAGGGGCTCTTGCAGGAGGCAACCAATCGATGTCTGTCTATCTGTC